GAGAGACTAGGCTGGTTGGAGGACCAATTTTGATGCACATAACGACTGTTCTAGCTGTGGCTGACAGTGGAACCTCCAGCAGGGTTTGCAATCTTTCCAATAAGCTACACAAACTTGACGGTGAACATGAGGAGCCTGGCAGAAACTGTCAGGAATTTGGAGTCTGGAATGACTGGGCTGCGTTGGGGTGAGGTTGGTATACGGTTCTGAAGAATCCCAAACCTGGATCGAACGAAGTCTACATCTTGAGATCAAACGAAGTCACTGCTTTTTGTCCCAGTTTGTGGAGGTTCGCTACAGTCAGGATTCCTCAGAAGGGAGCATTTTTTGGAGACGTAGATCAGTATATATGATTATATATAATATGTGGTTGAAAGCTTGGAGTGTTTATGCGGCAGTGCCCTCTTCAACACGTGAATTGGCTAGGAGCTCTTAGTTTAGTTTCTGTCACGACAAGCTGGGCAGCCGCTGACTGTAGCTTCGTATGCCAGAGTGCGCTTTTGCATACCTTGAGGACTAACATCATTGGCATTGGGGCTGGCCCAGGGGCACGTGATCATCATCGGACGTGGAGTCAACTGATCTTCACTCCTTGGCAGCCAGAAAACCCTCTCTCCCGAGACGCCGACGCCCGGATTTGCGTGGGTGGGCTTTGGAACCAAGGATGGAGACTGAGCTCTACAACGCAGCTTTGCGCGCACTCTCCGCAGGCCACTCAGAGCTCAGTGGATCGGCTGTTTTGCTGACAAGATCTGAGCAACAAGAAACTCAGTCGTGAATTTTGAATATCTTCAGTGATTGAGGCTGAGGCTTCTAGGAGGTTCTGGGGATGTCTTGGGTGGTCATTCTCAATTGTCATCGATTTGGCGACCCCAAGCTACATGGGTCGCAATCTACTCGAATCCCAGGTCTTTTGGAGAACCACCCACAGAGGACCTGCTCACCTGTTGTATCGGTTGTATGTACTTCTTCTTGGCAGGGCCTTGGCTTTTGGCGCTGGCACTTTTACAAGAAGCTGAAGACTTACGCCTGGCAGAGTCCTGGTAGCAGGGATGGCAGAAGAGGTCCATGAATGAACTCTAGAGGTACTGTATCTAGTGAAAGAGCATGCAGCATCCAGAAGTTCCACAAGGGTCTGCAAAATCGCCAGTGTTACTGTAAATACCTTTAGTTTGTATCAACAGTTCGCCATTAACCCTTCCGCAGGGAGACGTAGAGTTTGAGTTTTGTAATATGTTATATAGTGTGGTGTTTGTTTGCAGTAAGATTCATTTTGAAGGTTTTGTGTTTCTGCGAGTGTCCAGCGAATCCCAGTGATCCTGAGGATGGTGAGACCTACAGCCTGGCAGCCGATGCCTGTGTGAGCGGTGGCCAAGGGCAGCGAGCCGAAGGCCTCTTCCAGCAGATCTCCTCCGCCCTGCTGACGCCCTTGCAGGCGTGCGCGTGTCCAGCGATACCGTGACGCTCGTGGCCGAGAGGTTTGGACGTGCTTTGGCGCCAGCATGTTCTTTTCCGGTGAACATCATTGTGATCGGGGTCCTGGAACCGCTTAACACCCAGAAGATTCCGACCGGGGGAAGATGAGGATGTGGCCCCAAAGTTGCTTCATTCCGATGTCCTACACTCTTCACGCATCAAGACTCTAAGGATACAACATGGTTCTTGAATCCACTCATCATGCAATGCTTCCCGACAAAACCCCGCAAATCTTGAAGGGGGCTCAAGATGTTGACACAGAAACACTATGTCTTCGCCACTGGGACAGTTGTAGCGGGTTGTTTGATCCTTTGCTCAACTGACACTGGATCGGGCTAGCAGGCCTGGGTGGCCTAATACAAGGGTCTTGTGTGTTGGTTTCCCTCAAATTAATCTCAACCCCATCCCCTAAGATGATTTTCTTATTGTCCCTATGGTTATGAATCCCCTTCTGGTGAATATGTCTCCCCACCTGCCAGGTGAGGGTTGTTAGACTTTATCAGAGCTCTTCTCCTCTTCCTCCTTTCCTCTTCTCCTCCTCTTCTCGTTTTCTTGACTACCGCACGTCAACTACCAGCTCCAGATCGCATACCTCAACTGCACGTGCATGATCGCAGTGGGCACTCCCGGACCTCAACAGCAAGCGCCAGATCGCAGTGAGCACTACCGAACCACAGCAAGCGCCAAATCGCACCGGGCACTGCCGGACCTCAACAGCAAGCGCCAGATCGCAGTGGGCACTACCGGACCTGAACAGCAAGCGCCAGATCTTACCGGGCACTACCGGACCTGAACAGCAAGCGCCAGATCGCACCGGGCACTACCGGACCTCAACAGCAAGCGCCAGATCGCAGCCACCTACCAGTCCACACAGGCAGCACACCGGCATGGACTGGCGTGTTTTGACATGCTTTTGCTTGACTGATCGTCAAACCTGAGGTAGCAACTGCCGCCAGGTCGAATGAGATCAACTGGAGAGTTGAGCGGGCATATATTATGTCTCACAAAAGACTTTCTCTTTAGACGAAAGACTATGACTCTGTGAGTCACTGCGTTTGATTGGTTGTTTCACACCATGCCATGAAAACAAAGGGATTGAAATGTCATGGTGGGGAGTGGGGATCACTCGAAGTAAAGTAATTGTATTTTTCAGGCTCCTTAAGCAAATCCAAGCTAAAGTCTGGTGAGTGTGTGTTTGAAGATGCTTCACATTGTTTCAAATCTTTGGTGGCCGCTGGCATGTGTTCCAGGTCCAGCAAGAAGTGTGAACGACTGCACTCATATGACAATTTCTTGGGTCAGCCAGACTGCTTTTCATGAGCCTGTTGCAACTTTTCAGCGCACTGAGCTCACATGACCAGTTCCAACATGTTCCAACTGTTTTCAGTTGGTGGAGGTTGTTTGACATGCCAGTTCCGAGCCCAACTCGACCGAGGTGCCTTGTAGGTGACTAGCCTTTTAAGCAACCGACTGCTTCCGAAGACTAGAGAGCGCAAGAAGTTTGAGGAACCAATTTTGTTCTTGAATGTTCATGTTGAACACATCAGCTACTAGGTTGCGGGCCCCTCGTTTCGTCAGGTTTCGTCAGGTTTGGTCCCCACGGGTTGAAACCTGCGTCTCGACGGAGGGGTCGCAACGACGACTGATGGCGGGGATCCGATTGATCATGTTTGCGTGACAGACTGCACTGCTCAGACGTGCTGGTGTTCAAAATCAGACGTCAGATGTGCTGGCATGTTGGGAAGAATAGATGTTGGGAGATGGCAAGAGGAAACGCATACCAAAAGCATCCAAAAAATCAAACCAAAAACACATTGGTTGGGGAGGAGTCTCCTTGTTCCAATACACACGCGTCCATCGTTGCCACATGTTGCCCACGCTCCAGGAGATGGCCCAGACCGCCGGGAAAAACGCGTCCAAAACGAGTTCCCACGGATGATGGGGGATCCGGAGCCAAAGGTGAGAAAAATTCAAATTAAGATTTTGTTCCATGATGTTGGTTGATCATCAGATGATGATTTTGAAATGTTTGATACACTTTCTAAACATCGGCGTAGAGAGAGATTCGATGCAATTGTTAGAGATTGACAGGTGAAGGTGTAAATCTCCATGCAGTGATACGTGATGTTTCACATGTACAGTTGTTTGTAAAGACCTAGGGGCTTGAGCCTGAGCTACCGCAGCCCTTTTTCAGTTTCGAGAAAAGAGCCCAATTTCGCCTGCGTGGTTCCTCCGCGCTTTCGCATGGTAGCGGAGCTTGGTTCGGGTTGCTCCGACCAGCTTACGCTTCCCCTGCTACCTTAGCAGGGCACAGGCCCGCAAGTGCGGGCAGCCCCGCCTTGCTGGTTCACTGGCTCCGCAGCTGGTGAGCCACCTGGCGGCCAGTCGACCACGGCTGCGTGGGAGGGCTGGAACTGGTCCCGTGCAAAGTGGGACTGCGGCTGGTCGGGCTGGCAAGCCGACCAAGGCCACCAGGGCCAGGACAGATCCTGGACGTGGCACCGTGACTGGGACGACTGGGGCCAAGCCAGCGACCCCCCCTTCAAACCAGACTCCTTGGAGGAGTCACACATCCCTCTCTCGCACAGAGGGACCAAGTGAGTGGGGTGAGAGCAGCCGCGCTCACCGCTCACAGCCTTACCCGACAAAGGGTCAAGGAAAAGGCAAAAGCAAAACCCAAGGCCAGGGAAAGGCCGCCGCCACAGAGCGACCCATTCCCAAGCGCCGACCGCGGAACCACCGCGGCGCGCGCAATCCGGAGAAGCAAGCTCTTCGGGTTGAACGAGGCAAGGCCCGTCGCCTTGCGGCCGCCCAGCGGACACCAGCTGAGGCGGAAGAGTTTGAGGAAGTGATTGTTGAGGTTACCTCACCTTCTTCGCCCCCTTCCACCAGCTCATCCAGCTCAGGGACTGACAAGCCCGACTGGACTGAGCCGTGTCCGGTGCACTCACCGGAACCAGTCGCGGCCGAGCCGGCCGTGGAACAGCCGGAGACACTTCCGGCCAAGGTCAACGAGGAGCGCGGACAGTGCCCCGCCCCGGTGACCAAACAAGAGGAGAGTGAAACCAAGCACTCCCCTGAAACCGAGCTACCCTTGGAACAGCAGCCGTCTGCTGTCGAGGGTGTGCCCAAAGCTGCCCCAGGAGCGGGCAGCACCGCCCTGAGCACTGCGACCGCCACCCAACAGGTCGGTGAGCCAGCCGTGTCAGAGGCAAGTGAGGTGGAGGAGGATACCCCATCCATTTATCAGTTGTTTGAGCAGGCTGAGGAACTGATCCAAGCCATCCAGGAGAGTCTCAGCCCTCATGGCGGATCAGCAGCAGCAACAACAGGTTATACAGGAAGTGGCCGAACTGAGGGCCGCGCTTCAAAGGAGCGACGCGACGCAGCAGCATCTCGTTACAGCTCTGCGCGCAGCTCAAGCGCGTCAAGCTGAGCTTGATGCCACGGTGGCAAGTCTGCGGACAGAATTGCAACAACAGAGGAGTGCGGCGCAAGCCGCCCCATCATCAGACACACCAGTTATGCTAAAAGGCAATGACTTGGTGAAGCAAGCAATCAAGCCGCCGCGGAACTTGAGTGAAAAAGGAGCGCCGGACTGGGAACGTTTTGTGTTTCAGGTGGAAACATATTTGGCTCTCATAGACCCACTCTACCCCAAATACCTCGAAGAAGCTAAGAAAGCATCTGAATCCGCAGCTTCAGAGGTGGAGTCAGCGGAACACCGTGCTCTATCTATCAAACTCTTCGGCATGCTCACGTCCTGGTTGCAGGACTCTCCCTGCGCGGTAAAACTCGCCAGGAGTGTCACGCATCAGGATGGGTTTGAGCTGTGGCGCCTTTTGTGGCGTGAGTTTCACCCTGAACAGGCGACGAAGGGGTTGGTATGGCGCCGTGCCTTGCTGGCCCCTAAGTTCCCAACAAAGGAGGCAGAGTTTAGTTCTGCGCTCCAGGAATGGGAAAACGATGTGCATCGATATGCCGCCGAATATGGAGCGGAAAAAGGGATCTCTGAGGAGGATCAGCGGGCCCTTACAGAATCCCCCGCTGCCCTCCGGCAGCACCTGGCTATCCACGCCGCAACGCTCACGACCTATCAGCAGGTGCGTGCCGTGGTAGTCTCTTACTTACAGGCCAAGCGGGTGTGGACCCCCACTGGCTCTTACGCCGGCCCGCCAAAACGGTCTGAGCGAGACCCCGATGCAATGGACATCGGAAAAGTAGGAGATAAGGGCAATAAAGGAAAGGATGCCAACAAAGGTGGACCTGGAAAAGGAAAAGGTGGAAAGAACCCCAAAGGGAAAGACGCAGGAAAGGGCAAGGACAAGAAAAAGGAAAAGGATGAGAAGGACAGGTGCCCGATCTGCTGGCGACAAGGCCATACGGTCGAACAGTGTTGGTACAATGCCAAAGGCCAGGGCGCCAAAGGGAAGAACCAGGCTCAGGGTCAGAAACCCAAGGGAGGAGCTGTCAACGCGCTTGATGATGCCTCCACCCATGTCCCTGTTTCCCAGATGGGTGTCCCGGCCGGGTCGCAGGCTTCCACTGCGGCTTCCTTGGGCACACAGCGGCAGAATGTCCGCCATGTCTCTGATGGAACGGGCCATGGCCATATCCTGAAGCTTGGCGCGGGGAAATCCAGCCCAAGCATGGGATCTCTCTTGGTTGACACTGGGGCGTGCGTCTCCGTTTGCCGCCCGGGTATGTTCACTGGCCGCTTGGATCGCAAGGCAAAGAAATCCCTTTATTCAGTAGACGACACGCCACTGAGGACGCAGGGCAGCCTGACCTCGCAGCTTCGCCTCGGACATGAGGCGCAGCAGGATGCCACAGTAACCTTTCAGGTGGTGGATGGCATTAGCGATGACATCCTCTCTGTCACCCGCGCGGTGGACGCTGGAGCGTCAGTGGTTTTCGGACCCAAGTGCCACATTGAGTGGAGTGATGGCACAAAGGCTGATTTCTTCCGAGAGGGGAATCAATTCGTCATGCCATATCAGCAGCTCCAGCCGGCAACTATGGCTGCCAAAGTTGCTGTGGTAGATGACCCCGATGCCGAAGCCGTGATCGAATATGCGCGGCGAGAGGCTGAGGCTGAAAAGGCCATGAAAGACGCTCACGACCTTGAAGCAGAGGCGGATCCTGTGGATCCTGAACCCGCGACGCTCTCTCATCCCAAAGATCCGACCGCGGAAGAGGTGGCGCGGCATGAGCTGACCCACCTGCCTTTCGCCCCTTGGTGTGAGGCTTGCGTGTGCGGCGCTGGCCGCCATGGACACCATCGGAGGATGGAAGATGTAGGAGACGGTGCGCTCGAAACCATTGTGCAAGTGGACTACACGTTCTTTCAGCGGAACGCGCACCAGAGCCCAGTGGAGGATGAATCCGTGTTGGTCACAGTTCTGACCCTGGTGGACAAGGCCACTGGATGGCCTCTAAGCATCCAGGTGCCGCGCAAAGGGGCAGAACACGGTGCATATGTCCTCAATGCGGTCGAACTCTACCTCAACACTTTGGGGCACCAGCGTGTCACCATCCAGGTTGATCAGGAGAACTCCATCCGGACTGTCGCGCGGGCCATCCAAGCGCGAATGGGCGCTCACAAGGTCCATGTGCGGGAAGCCCCGCCATACTCGCATCAGAGCCAAGGAGCAGTGGAGGGGGAGCACTCCTTCCTTGCCGGGCTTGTCCGTACTATACTGATGGACCTCCAGAAGCGGTACCCGGCCAACCTAGTCGATATCAATCATGTGGTGTTCCCATGGCTTGTTCGACACGCAGCATGGCTGACAGCAAGGTACCAAATACGCACTCGAGACCGAGCCACGCCGTACCGCATTGTCAACGGCGTGGATTATTGCTCGCCCATCTGCCAGTTCGGGGAAACCGTGATGGCACGGCTCCCACTCCCTGGTACCAAAACCCAGAGACGATGGATCAAGGGCGTGTGGGTTGGTCGTCTCGAGCGCGATGACACTCACATCATCCTGTCTGAGGCAGGCGCGCTAACTGTGCGGTCTGTCCGCCGGTTGCCGCCTGCCGTCCAGACACAAGCATCCGTCTTGAAGCAGGTGACCGGCCTACCTTGGCAGCCAAGGTGGGACGCAGAGTGCAGACTTCACCACCACAGACTTCTCAGGTTGTGGTATTGCCCATGCCTGCAGCGCCGGCCGCATATACAGAAGAGGAAGCGCGGATCCCAGGGCCGCCCCCTGCTTTAGCGGCCGACGGTCCGAAATCCAGGGTGGATCTTGATGCCTTGGAGGTGGAAGGGGTTGCGCTCGCTGAAGACCTGCCTGAAGAGCCGCCTTTGTATGAGCCAGAGCCCATGGATGACATGCCTCCCGCCAACGATGCGGTAGACGCGGAAGAAGCGTCTCCTGTGGCAGTTCGAGGGCCTGGTTGGAGCTCGGCCATGGCAGCCTTACCAACTACCCCTGCGATGCCAACCGGCCTTGGCGGCAGCGACGTGCTGTCTCCAAAAAGGAGTCCAGCGGCAGGAGCGGACGCCGAGGAAGCTCGCCCGCCGAAGCAAGCTAAAGCAACGCCCGCCAAGAAGCCTAGAGTCGGCCAAATTGCAGTTGAGGAGACATGGCAGGCCATCGAGGCATGGGCCAACGCCGAGGAAAGCCAAAACCCCCATGCCTTGCAGAGGTTGGCCAGTGTTTGCACTTGGTTGGATTCAATTTCGGATCCGATGCAAGTGGCTGAGGCACGGCTCGCGCAACTCAGGAAGCTATGGCAACGCTCAGCTTTTGAGCCTGTCCATAAAAGGGATGTGCCGCCCGGAAGCCAGATTTTCCATTTCAAGTGGGTCGACAAATGCAAGGAGGGCGTCTATAAGAGCCGCTTCACTTGTGCAGATGTGAAGCGGAACTACTCCGAGGCCGAGGAAGAGCAGTTGCGTGTGTTTGTTCCAACGCCAACGCCGGAGTCACATAGCCTCCTGGAAGTGTCGGCGCTGTTCCACAGTCATGCTACGAGGACCTTTGACATCGTGGCCGCATTTCTCATTGGTCGAGACCGAGGCGCCCAAGAAGGCAATCCTTGCTACATGCGAGCCCCAGAAGAATGGAGGCCAATATTTGAGGAATGGGTGCGGGATACCTTTCCGCCTCACGAAGTAGCTCGAAGATTAAAAAGCTTCCCGGCCTATATGTTCCGCCTTGACGGCAACCTGTATGGTCGTCGCACGGCGGGTTCAGTGTACAGGGACGAGCTCGAAGAGATCTTGGTTGAGAAGATGAAGCCGACCTTTTGTTTTGTTCGGGGCAAGCACGATCCATGCACATACCACTGCAGCAGCAGCAAAGTGACCTTGGTCCACCACGTTGATGATGTTCGGTGCTCAGGCCCGGCTAGCGCCTTGAACCGACTCATTGACGTGGAGCTGCCCAAGCACTGTGAAAACCTCTTGAAGCCGAAGGGGTAGCAGTGGAAGTGCTGGGACGTGTGAAAACCCGGTTGGAGGGCGCGATCCTCACCGCGCCAGATCCAAAGCACGCAAAGAACATCTTGACCGCACTGGACATTCAGCCAAAGGAGAAATCGGCGGTCCCATCGCGTAAGCTCAACTTGGATGAGAACGAACCACTGGCCGATGAATTTGCCAAACGGTACAGATCGGCTGTGGGCAGTGGTATATATCTCTCGGCAGATAGAAGAGATATTGCCTACGCAGTCAAAGAGCTGGCTCGCCATATGGCGCAACCGCGGCTGTGCGATTGGGAAAATGCTTTGGTCATGGGTAGGTATCTTAATAGCCACCCAGATCTGGTGCGAGCAACCGTGCTTGACGGCGATGCCCATCAGCACCTCGCCCTTGAGTTGTACAGCGACAGTGACTGGGCAGGATGTCCAGAGACCAGACGATCCACAGATGCCCATGTGGGTTATCTTGGGGGTGCGGTGATTACCGCCTCCACGCAAACGCAGCCTGGTCTTCCAGCCACGTCCTCACCGGATGCAGAGCTGCGGGGTATCAGTCGCGCCGCTAGAGAAGCTATCTTTCTGAAAGGCTTGGCGTCTGACGATTTTCAGCTACCCGTCGAAGTGCCACTTTTGTGGAGTGACTCGAGCACCGGAATCACTGCCGCCAAGAGGATTGGGCCTGGGAGCAAGCTCAGGCACCTCGACGTGTGCGAGTTTTACGTACAAGGGGCAGTGCAGACAGGGCGACTTCAGCTCCGCAAAGTCAAGGGCACTATATGAATCCTTCCAACTACCTCACGAAACATCCCAAGACCGGGTCGGAGGTGCAGGAGGCACTGCCCTCTTTGGGCCTTGTCAATGTTCACGAGGTGGAAGGAGCAACTGCAGCCCGGAAGGGAACAGTGAAAGCTCTGAAGCAAAATCCCCCAGCTCAGTGGAAGACAATGGCACCAATGACAAAGGCCAGTGTGAAACTGTGCGGCGCCCTTGCTGCCAGTCAGATCACCGGGGTCAAAGGCCACAAAGATGGCTCAGAAAGTTGCAGCTGTTTACCTTGGATCTTAGGAATCATGGTGCTGCTCGGTTGTGTAGTCTGGGTGTGCATGTACAACGCCATCAGACTACGGCGCACGCAGGTTACACGAGAGCCTGCGCCAGAACCAGAGCCAGACCATGGGCGCTCAGAGCGGGCGACCCCGCCTTTTCGCCAAGGGGGGGCATCGCAAAGAAGGCTCCCGGCCGATACCCCAGCACCAATGCAAAGGGCGTTTCGCCATGACCGATCCGTGTTCTTCACAACGACCGGTTCTAGAGCACACATGTACTCTAACTGTCAAGGCCTGCAACATGTCCCAGAGGCTGAGATCGATGAAGAAATGATCTGCCAGACCTGCTATGATCGCCATCCCATCGGGAATTTTTGGCTCCATCTGGAACGCATCCACCTAGTATGCCAAATTCCCTGGCGAGAGATTCACCTCCTCTTGGATTGTCCAGAGTTGGCACGGCGCACTACATGGCATATGCCTGTATGCCAATACTGCCGGAGACAGCAGATCATGCCAATGGGGCATCGAAGGCCCGTGCGGGAACCTCCGCTGAATCTTGAGCGGGGAGCCCCGCCAGGGCGCAGGCACACGGTTGCCCGAGCGGGTAGCACCGCCGGGTGACCGCCCCTAGCCTTTAAGGGGGGTGTAAATCTCCATGCAGTGATACGTGATGTTTCACATGTACAGTTGTTTGTAAAGACCTAGGGGCTTGAGCCTGAGCTACCGCAGCCCTTTTTCAGTTTCGAGAAAAGAGCCCAATTTCGCCTGCGCGGTTCCTCCGCGCTTTCGCAGAAGGACCCAAAGGTGACATGAATGTTTGTGGCTAGGCGTGCCATGGTCCGCATAGTGGGTTGTAGTGGATGTAGAGGGGATAATTATTCATGGTCATTCAATTTTGTGGTAATTTTTGTGCAACCCCCAATCGGGTTTTGATAAAGCTAAGATGAGAATCCCCCACAATTGAGGAGTTTTGGCCGTGGTACGTGTAGATGTCCAACGTATTGCGGGCCGCAGAACAAAATTCACCCATCGGTGTGGGGGAGAAGACACACAGGTTTTGGTAGTTATATCTAGACGAAACGTAACCTTGTTGTCCACTTGCACATCCTCTACTGAGTTTGCACTACACTATGCGAAACACCACAACATGTACATCAAGTTGCACTGCTGGGGCGTGGTGTTTTTTTCCAGGTTTCTGGCCATGTTCTGTTGTTTGTCCTTCACTGCTCAGGTGCCCCATGGGCGGGTCCCAGCCGCAGTCCGGCTTGGTGCCCCATGTTCCGGAACGACGTGCGCCACCTGTGAGAGGCCAATGGCCTTCAGAACTTCAATGATCAAGTGGATATCAAGTCCTTCCCTCCAGGTTATTTTGGTGAATCTTGGAATTGAGATGGAATTCAATATTCTGTGTGATTGTATGTTTTCTTCCCCATGCAACATGCTTTTGGGACTTCCGCGCGTGGATTCCGCAGTGAATCACTTCGTCCAACAAGATAGACCCAGGGCATGCTCAGTGCTCAGACACCCCATCGCGGCACAAATATGGCCTGCATAATAATGATTTAAGTGGTACGTGTAGGTCATGCATAACGACTGGAATCTATGAACTAGAATAAGTTGTTGTCTCATGGTCCTCAGAACTTTCAAGATTGAGTTGGATGCCACAGTGTACAGTCCGCCCTGGAGAAAGAGAGGCAGAGAGAGCGAGAGAGAGAAAGAGAGAGAGAGAGAGAAACACTAGTCCTTGACCATGACTCTCATTGGTTGTCCTATGCCACCGTTTCGCTTGTAGCAATCCGCGCAACCTCCAACCACCTACCGTCTGAGGACGAGACCCAATCCCCTTGTCAGACGGATCCGATGGTTCTCTACAGTGGTTTCAGAGTAGATGGCGCAATCATGCACAAAGGGTGTGTGTGTTTTCTTCTTTTTTTTATCGGTCCATATGCACCAACTTTCTTGTGATTGTGCCATTTAATTACTCTGAAAACACGGTAAGTGTCGTTGTTGCCAGGTTCAAGGAAAGAGCAAGTGTTAGAACTCCGGTGATATTCGTTGTGTGCAGCTGGGATCGCAACACGACGACGCAGTTGATGTGAGACGATCTGCAGTACCTTCGAAGCACTCCACCTGAAGATCAGACTCTCATTCATTTCTCGTGACTGAAGCCACAGCCCCGACGCAAAAACAGAAAATCAACAGAAGGATTCAAATGAAATGTAGTTCCTTAGCCGCCATGCACTCGATGTGTGGGAAGAACCTCCAAGAACATTGGTTAAGGAAGTCGTCACACAAAGCCTGGTTCTTGTTGTTCTCCTTTTTCTCTACCCCCTTCAGCAAGAACCAAATGTTCCACAGTCCGTGTAATCAAACTATCATGGAGATTCATGGAGCCAAACTAACATGTTGCACGCCAACTGTTGTTACTGTATGATGGAACTCTACATGATGATCCTCCGAAATTGGCCCCAAGCACTCCATGATATTGGATTACCACTGCGTCTTCCTCCATTAGGCCGCTCTGCCAGAGGATCCCACGGCGTACGGCGCTCAGAGCTGCACCGTCCCGAAATCGATGCGGCTCGGGAGAAGCTGTGGATGTTCTTCCAAGTCACTTCTTGCCTTTGGAAATTGAAGAGAGGTTGGGAGTCAGTAGAGCTATATAAGTAGAGTCAATCCCTGAGGAGTGAGAATGTTTACATCAAGGAGGCCCTTGTAGATGCTAATTCCATTGTCCTTTTTGCAGGAAGGCCACCACTTGCAGAACCATTTGTCGGATGAGATGTCGCGTGTCATGAGGCCTTTTCTACATCCATCCTCAAGGCAGCTAGTACAGGCAGGGATGGGCATGCGGGGCAGTGCACAAACACCCAGCTAGGGTGTTTTGCTGCACCTGATGCCCTAGCTTGTGGCTGAAACTGAGCGCCAGAAAAGGTGTTTGGATTGACCGGTTAGTCAGCTAGAACTACCGCAGCACTGCATCGTAAAGATGAATGATCAGGAAATAGTCACTTTACACCCTCATCCGGAAAAGAGCACTGCATTGATATATGACGTCACCCTCACTCGGACAAAACGTTTTTGAGTGGACAAATCGTGGAGGTGGCCGTCCCCACTTGAACATGCCTAATTGAGACACTGAACCCAATGCCGAGAGGAATCTTCGTGACGAAGAAGTCTTCTGGAACCCTTGACCCTTGGGCTCATGTCATTTCTGGGGAACATGCAGTCTAAGTCGAACGGGTTGGAATTCCGGACGCTGTCCACCGGATCCCTGCTGAGATAATACATGCTGAGATGGGTCGTCGAGGCTTGACTTCGCATGTAAACATGGTGCGAATCAGATTTTCGGACGCCCTCCACCACGCCAAGAGCACTTGGAGGTCATGCAAACTCTCTCATGACAGTTGAGTAGATGACCTAGCACTGAGACTTTGCACATTTTAACACTTCCCTTGCCCAAGGGTCCCAGGGTCCCTCGTCGCATGTTGCCTCCATTTTAACACATGTTCGGTTCTCCAAGCATCTGGAAACAAAAAAACAGTGACACAGGTGACCAGATGTGGTTTTGCTGCCCTCAAGCCGACTCTTTGGAGATCCGGTGCTCGGTGGAAGCTGGGCGCCTCCCGTTCAGGTCCCTTTGGAGTTCTCCTCCCTGAAACAATGGCCACTCGCCTGGACATAGCTTCTGGCCCGTTCGGTCCAGGAGGTTGTTTATGATCGCAAGATTGATCCGTATGGCGATGGACTCGGTTGAGTAGGGTTGAGATCACAGGGTTCGATTGATTTTGTGTCTGGGGCATCGTGTTTCAAATGTGTTTCAGACCCAGTTGAGACGTGTTTCGTGACCGAATTCGTCTGAGCCAGCTGGATGCCCAAAACCAAAGGAGTGGTTGACATCCCATGGTCGAGGGCTGCAATGGCTGCAATGATCATATATATATATATATCA